CGTAACACTACAACTTTATTGCATATAATAGGGGTAAGCTTCAACCAACTTACACTCTATAAATTTTGTCCTCAATTATTCTAAGGGGATATCCAACTACTCAAGAGATTGCAATTTCAATCCAAATTGTAGTATTATGAGTTCGTAATTTCGTGATATTTTTGTCACCTTGTTAATTAGGAAAAATAGTTGACGTTAAATTTTGGAGTATACTATAGTCATGCGAAAAATAAATAGCGAGTACTTACAAGTGTCTTTTACTGTTAAACAATTAAGGACCCGTTTGGCCATAAATTTTGCCAAAATTTATTTATTTGTTTATTTTTTGCAAATACATGTTTGTTCATAAATTTTATCCATATTTTGGCAAATTCCCAAAACTCAAATCCTAAAATTTGCCCCAAACTTTTATATTTTATGAAAGAGCCTACCATTTATTATTTTGTAATAACGTTGTTTTATCTTCTCGGTTATCTGATAGTGTATTATGTAGTTCATTATAAAATAATAATTTTGCACCAAATTTATTTATGTTTAGGATTATGGTTTGCGATAATATAATGAATATTATTGATGAAGGTACTATTGATATTTGTGATAATTTTTAGAACTTTTGGGTGTAAGTATTGTTTCATGTTTTTTCAAAAAAACAAGTGAAATATATTTTGAAAACTGATGTCCAAACACATTTTCATCTTCAAATCAAACTTCACCTAAATCAGATTTTTCAAAATAAACTTGAAAATCTGTGCCCAAATGCTAGCTAAAATTATTATCAAATGTTAAAAAGAGTTCTTGTAATGTCCGGGTACAGTAATTGGCTTCTACCTTTAATATGTGCGAGTACTTGTATTATGTTATGCTAATTGTCTTAAAGTGTTTTGCCACCGAGTTTTTGTGAATTGGGTTATCTTGAGGTAACTTTCCACATCCGATTTGCATGGGTTTCATATTTAGGCTATGGGTAACACGAATAACAACTTATTAGTTGTTAGATTTATGGAAGTATTTAGAAGGGGTTTTAACATCGTATATCCCTCTATAAATCTCTTTACTCATTATGTCTTAATTATGAAAGTTACATTGTATACCTATAAAGAAATTACATCGTATATCTTGATAGAGAATCTTATGTGTATAACAACCACTATTAATAAGGGGATAATATCCCTTAAATGCAGCCTTAATTATTGAAATGTGTACTCAATGAATTTTTAGATTCACATCTCCCATAATTAAACCATATTCTTATTTTCCATCAGAACTTCATTTTTTATATTGTATGCTCTATACTTTCAAATCTTCCCATATATTTTGAACATACTACAATATTCTAATTTGAACTACAATTCAAATCGAATATATCACAATATTCTAATGACAAGTACGCTATCTAAACCAAACATATCACAGTATTCTAATTTAGTATATTACTCAAACTAAATATACCATAATATATTTTTAATTTATAATACATTATTCAAATACTATAATATTTTAATTTGGAATACAACATTCAAACTAAATGTACCATAATATTCTAATTTGGAATACAGTATTCAAACAGAACATACTATAATATTCTAATTTGGAATACAATACTCAAACAATATTTTAATTTGGAATACAATATATAAACCAAATATTTTACAATTTTTTAATTTGAAAAAATCTGGTTTGAATACTGTATTCCAAATTAGAATATTATGGTGTGTTTGATTTGAATATTGTATTCCAAATTAGATTATTGTGTTATGTTTGATTTGAATATTCCAAATTGGATTATCATCGTTGTTTGATTTGCATAATGTATTTTTCATTAGGATATTGTGGTGTATTGGTTTGAATAACATATTCTAATATTTTATTTTAGTTTATATATTATATCCCAAATTAGAACATTGTCACGTTATTTTGTTTTTCTTTTGATTACATAGATGAAAGAGAAGAAAAAGATTATGGAGGACTTCATAGAGAAATTTCTCCGGTGGACGTTGGTGAACATGTATAATTCCAATTACTTAAAACGTGGGATGATGGAGTGTTTTAAGGGATTTATTAAGTTGGAATGAGAGATAATTTAGTTCCTTAAAATGTGAGATTTATTTAATGGCATATAATGATATTAAAAGTTTAAAAAGTAATAAACTTTTATAAAATAGGTATACAAGGTAAAATAAATATTTCAAAGGTATATGGAGTTAACTAGCATTTCCAGTGGGCATAAGGTGTAGATTACTCTATTTAGAATGACTTAAAATCCTAGAATGCTTATAGCCTGTTTGGTCAAGCTTCAAAAATCAGCTTATTCTGAGAAGTGTTAGTGCTTTTCTCAAAAGTACTTTTGGTGATAATCAATTTGTGTTTGACTAATTAATTTGAAAAGCACTTCTAAACAGTAACTAGTGTTTGGCCACACTTTTATTAAGTACTTCTAAGTGTATGTTTATCAAAATTAGTTTTCAAAAAAGTATTTCTGGGGAGAAACTACAATTTTCTACTTCTCCAAAATTGCTTCTGCTTCTACTCAAAAGCATTTTTTTGGTTCTAAAATCTTAGCTAAACACTTGACTTTGAAAATAAACTACTTTATTGAAGAAAAAAAGTGCTTTTAAATGTAAAGAAGCTTGGCCAAACAGGCGATTATGCGAAGGATTTGGTGGCTGGAATTGATAACATATGGCTAGAATTTATCTGGGTAACCTTGTACTAATGTTAGATTATCGAAATACTGTCCTGGGTGACTTGAATTGAGATGAGGCATCGTAATTGAGATTCAAGAGTTAGTCTTAAGAACCCAAACTAGTTTGAGTCCCTTTCTATAGGCAAATGGATAAATCAAATTCTTCTTAGCCCGACTTGGCAACCTTTTCTTCCCTAGAACAAAATTTTTGTTCCTTAGACTTTCTGTTTCTTTTGCTACACATTCACTCGTATAGTGTTCAGTATTACCACAATGAGTGCAAATCTTATTCTCAGAAAGTGTGAGGTACATGCTCCCATTTAGGTGCAGAGTTCCCAAAGCCAGGTCCCCTTCTGTTGCTACTATGGTATTCTTTTAGCCATGAAAGTGCATCGAAGGACCTGTTCCATTTACATATCCTATCAAGCTCATGCTTAACCTTTGTCAAGTCCTCTTTCAAAACTCTTACTAGTTCATCCATTTTGTATAACTCATCTTTTACCTTTCCTAAATCTTCTTCTAGTGTGAGTTGTGTGACACTAGCTATTTCTTTACCTGTTCCTAACTTCAATTTCAGATTTTCATATCTAAGTTCTAAGACAGTTGTATCAAGTGCATGAACCTGATTCTTCAAAACACTATTTTCCTTTTCAGTTTTACAAGCTTTTACTTTCAGGTTTTTGCATTCTACTTTTGAAAAGTTACACTCTTTTTACAGCTGTTCTTTTTCAAAACTTATATTTTTAGATTCATCAATTAAAGTTAGTAACAATTCTGATAGTCTGTCTTTAGAAATGAATTTAATTTTATCCTTTAGGTTCAAAAAACTTATCTCAAGTTCTTTATCAAGTTCATCTTTAGATTCTCCAATTGCCATAAGAGCTCCTTCAGCACTATCATAGTGTTCTCATCTAAACTATCTTCCCAAGTAGCAACCATTACTTTGGATGGCCCTTTTGTTGTAGTTTTTCTTATCATGAACATGTTCCTTCTTCCTATTTCTTCTATTAGATCTCTCATTTTTTCACTCGACTTCCCACATAGGACAGTTCTTGATCATGTGGTCTTGTTTACCACATTTGAAGCACCCATCGATCATCTCCAATTGATCTCTTATCCTCTCCTTCCACCAAGAATAGTAATGACCAAGAATGGTGGCATAGTGGTGGATTGCTCTTTACAGTTTCCAGGTAGTGCACTCATCTTGATCTTTTCCTAAGATGTTAGCCTCTTCAAGGATAATCTGCTATGATACCAATTGATATTTTATACTTCAATACCACACAACAAGGGAGGTGATTTGTGTGGTGTTCAATTTTTGCGTGCACTGGATTATAGAAGGACTTGGTTCTTTTATGTGTTCCTCTATAGTTGCGGAATAAGTAATGCAAAAGTAAAGAACACAAGTATTTTACGTGGAAAACACCCGGCTCAAAAGGTGAAAAAAATACGAAATACTTGCCTGTAGGATTTTTCGAACACTTCACTACAACTCTGAGCCAAACAACAATGCTCACAAACTCTTGCAAACCTAAGGAATAACTCTAACCCTTGTAGCAACACGCAACAGGCTGTTGCGACTACTTCAAGTTAACTCTAACTTGAATACTACAACTCAAGTATCTAGTACAATTGCTTCTAAAGAAAGCTGAAAGGTACAACTCAAAAGCTCCTACTACAATTGAAGAAGAATAAAAGACAGACACATGTAACTGGTTCTTCAATCTAGTTCATGCAGATTCAGGTTCGTAATCTTGAAACTCATAGAAATTGCTCACAAAATGCCTTGTTATTTTGCTCTCAATTCTTGCTTAACTTCAATATGTGTGTGTGTCGCCTGTAAAAGAGAACACAATTGATATATATAGAGTTAATATGATTAAGATTACTAGAGGTCTAATGATTTACTCTTCCTTGGTGGAAGAGTTCTAGTTAAGTTCAATGTCTAACTCTTTCTTTATCTTGGATAGAGTTCTCTTCAAGTAAAGAATCCTGCTCCATATAAAATATGCAATCTTTTCGTTCAGGAATTATCAGGAATAACCACTTATACTTATCCCTTGCACGTGCATGCCTTTTGCTTGATTCTGACCGTAACCTTTGTACAATGTTTATGGACCTGGTTCTTGTATATGTTCCTTTGTCAAACATTAAAACCTATACTGTTTAGGTCAACATCGACTTATGTCCGTGGCAGTATGCCGACCATGCCGAGGTTAGCACGGGTGGCATGGAACATGTTCACAAGGATCTTGGCATGATGGAAGGCCTAAAAGTATTGTCGAGTGTAAAACACATAAACTAATTTATTATGTCAAACAATTAGTCTTAAAACTTTAAATTCCTAGAACAAAATGGAAAAAAAAATATATATACAAAGCAATGCGAAGGGAGACGCAAAAAGATCAGCATCTTGGTAGTGCTTGTTCAAGCAAGTGGCCTAATATAACAGTGGAGAACAAGCTTTGTGAAGGTAACTTTTCCTTTGATAAAGACACACAAACTTGCTTCATGGTTGGCCGAGCTTGAGGACTTTGACAAATGCATGCAAATGCTAGCTTTGTGATTTTGATCAATTCTTCTGCTTCTTGTTTTCCAGGAGCTTGTGGTCGTTGGTCAATGATATCCTTTAACAATATTCCATGCGCGCTTGACGCTGACGAAAGTGATGATATAGCTGCAATAATATCACCTGGATGATGACCTAAAATGACTTCTAGTGATAGCACCCCAAAACTGTAAACATCACTCTTCTCATTTACCTTCATTGTGTAAGCAAGCTCTGCAAATTACATATTAGAAATTAAGTATTAAAGGATATTAGAATATACATTAGAAGTTAGTAAAAAATTATATGTATACCTGGAGCTACATAGCCAAATGTTCCAGCGAACGATGTCCAGTTAGAGGAGTTAGACCTTAAGAGTTTTGCAGTGCCAAAATCAGAAACATGGGGATTGCCTTCATCATCTAAGAGGACATTGTTACTTGATATATCTCTGTGAACTATAGGAGGTGAACACTCATGATGTAAGTAACACAATGCATTTGCTATCCCCTTGACAATATCAACCCTCTTGAGCCAATCTAATTCTCTTGCTCTATCCTTATTGCTAAGGTTTTGCGACAAGTTTCCTCCTTCCAACAACTCATAAATCAAGAACGAGTGGCGTGCATGTGAACAAAATCCATAGAGCCTCAGTATATTTCTATGGCGGATGTTTACTAGAGTTTGTATTTCTTTTGAAAAGCTTTTCAAGTTGTCATCAGAATATTCTTCATCTTCTAAAGCATGAACTTTTTTCACTGCAACAACTTGACCACATGGTAATTCCACTCTAAATACAGTTCCATGTCCTCCTTTTCCAATGCAATATTTGCTATCAAAATTCTCTGTTGCTGTAATGATGTTTTCATATGCTATTTTCCCATCAAATCCTCGAATCGAAAAAGAATTGCTAGATGGTTCTCTTGGCTGAATACTACTAGCATTTCTCTTCCTTTTTGTTAGAAAAAGAATACAAGTAATCACAAGTAGAAGTAGGGCAACCGAGATAAGAGAGAGAGTTAAAGTCAGTATAATAATCTTCCTACTTGTTCTCTCTTTTTTCCCTAATGAAGAGCAAGGTTTCATACCATTGTGATTGCTGCAACACAAATCATGGTTATCTCTTAATTGTTCAATCGATGCATTCTGAAATGCTACGATCTGTGGAAGGGGACCATCCAATTGATTGGAAGATATATCAATAGAACTCAAACTTAGGCGTTCATTGAAACTTGATGGGATTGAACCACACAAGTTATTATGTGAAAGATTCATGACTTCCAAGCGTTGCAAAGATCCTATGGTCCGCGGTATCTCACCACCGATCATGTTATAACTGAGATCAAGATACAGTAGGGAGTGCAGATTTCCCAAACTAGAAGGAATAGTTGTGTTTAACATGTTCTTGCTTAAATTCAAATTCCAAAGCTGCCTACAATCTCCTATTTCTCTTGGAATCTTGCCACTTATATTATTTTCAGCCAAGTTAAGTCTTGTAAGTTTAGACAACTTTCCCACTTCTATAGGTATTTCCCCTGAAATTTTATTTCCATGCAAATCAAGAACCAACAAGAGAGTTAAGCTCTCCAAATTTTCAGGAATTTCGCCGGTCAAGTAATTTGAAGACAGATCAAGCATTTCTAGTTTAGTCAGATTTCCAATCTCAATAGGTATGGCTCCAGACAAGTTATTGTTGGAGATTTTCAAGCTGGTTAGATTATGAGAAATGCCCCATTTTGATGTCAACTCACCATAAAACTTATTGTGACTCAAATCAATGTAAATTAGATCTGGATAGACACCAAAAGCTTCTGCTATATTGCTAGATAATTGGTTCCTTTCAAGCCTAAGTCTGGTTAGTTTAGAGCAATTCTTCAAGCTTCTAGGGATATTACCAATAAATTTATTATCATATGCTGTGAATTTAGTCAGTTTTCCACCAAGACACAAATTTTGTGGCAAGTGACCAGTAAGATTGTTTTCTGATATTTGAAAAATTTCCAAATGTGTAAGATTTTCAAGCTCTATTGGAAGGGTTCCATTGAGTTTATTTCCTAGCAAACATAAATGCACAAGGGATTTTAAGTTACCTAAGCTTGAAGGGATAGGACCATAGAATTCATTCACTGTTAGATATAAGTGTTTGAGATTTTTCAAGAATCCTATTTCAGGTGGAATAATTCCAGAAAAATGATTGATCCTCAAATCAAGATAACTCAATCTTGAAAGATTAAAAATGTTATGTGGCAGTGTACCATGGAGTGAATTATTGGAAAAATCAATTAAATGGAGATGGGGAAATGATGAGAAATTTAGATGGTGAAGTGTACCTCTCATCCCATAATTTGCAATATCCAATTGAGTAACTCTTCCAAATTTATCACAATAAATGCCATCCCAATGGCAATGACTAGTACTGTTTGTGACCACCCAAGAAGAAAGAAGTGATTGGTTTGTATTTTCAAGACTTGCTTTCCATTTTAAGAGAGAATATGGTTCATATGAACTTGAATTAATTGAATGTTTTTGAGAAGCATTTAGATAATATTTAGCAGAAACATGTTGAATAGAAGTAGTCATAAAAATCAACATCATCATACACATGAAGAGAAAATGACTGAATATTGGATGGTATGATAAGGAAATAGTCATGATTATTTCTCCACCAAAAAATAAATCTTGTTTTTTTTTTATCCTAAGGCAAACTGTTTGGCTTTGTGGGAATGTTGGATATATTGATTAATGGACAGATATATATAACTAAAACAAGGGTCATGCTTAATTCCAAGTGGGAAACCAAGCCGCAGTAAGTTTAGTATATTATATTATCTTTCTTTTTTCCCTTTTCAGTTAATTTAAACATATATAAGTTCTCGTGTTCAATTTATGTAATAGTAGTACTAGTTTTTAGGTTCATACTTTAATGTTCTTTCCTGCAGATTTATTGCATCTAACAAAAACTGAGTGACAAACCTAGTGTCACAACTCACTCTCATGCCTAGTAGTTAACTTATATATTCATATTTTCATGACTATTTCATACTCTTTTCCTCTACTCCTCCTCCGTCTACCCTCGCATTACTAGCGTGTTACAAGATAGCGAGTTCTTTCTAAATCTATGAAATAATATAATTAATTGATACAGAAAATTTTTCTGTAACACTAAATTAACGATACAATAATAGTCTACTCTGTTGAATTATGTGACCCAACACATTCTTTTTCACGTGCGGACCATAGTTTGCTTGTTCTTGTATCATGTTAAATTGGGTGACATTTTTTTAATATAAATTTAAGCTGCTAAAGAAGCATACTTTAGTTACTTCACTATATTATGTCTCTATCCTATCCGACTAAGAACAACAACTAAAACAAAGAAAAGAAAAGAAAAGAAAATTCATAGAATTATCTTTCTTACCTTAAACAATCCCCTCCTGTTTGACCAAAAGATATTGAAACCTTTTTAATTAAATCAATTAGAAAAAGTTGAAGAGGCAAATCTTAGTCAAACATAATAAATTCCAGATCTATAGATAAACCAGAAAATGAAATATAAAATGAAGTAGAAGCGGAAATTATCGAAGCCTTTTATTTCTTCTTTCACCAATTGGTGAAGATGACTATTGTAGACATTTATTGGAAGTTTGTTTTTTCTTCCTTTTCACTAAGGAGATTACAGAGGAGAAGGAGAGAAAAAAGCCCCCCTTTTCTAGGAAGGTCTCATCCCTATATATAGTCATGGAGTCATTGCTGTGTATCTGGGCCATAGCCCCCCTTACTTTGCATCTACTTTCGTCGTTCGGTGAATATGTGGTTTGGCGTAAATAGTGTCGTCTTTCCTTATCACATTGTTTGGACGTGGTCCCAATTGGGTCGACCACAGCGGTCAGATTTTGACCAATACAATTAGTCCCGCCGTCTGCCGGGGTCGTCCCTTGTCGGGCCCGGTAGGCGGATAATGATTTCCGCTTGTCTAGGAGAAATCTGACTATCTACCCCTTGGGTATGATTTTCAGAATCTAGCATATTGGCACCCTTCCGATATCTTTGAACTGTTGCGGCTGTTTCATGACCGAAACGTTGTTTGGATTGAAACGTTGTTCGTGGTTGCCGCCATTATGACACACGTTCCCGAGAAATTGAAACATTTCGTGCCCTATAAGATTCGATTGGCGACTCTTGGGTTTCGTGCTTTGGGGGATTTATGTCTCCTATAAATAGCAGGAACACATCACTCGATTGACACACTTCCTTGTCCTTTACTTGAAAGAACTTCGCGAATATACTTTCTTCCTGATACTTCGAATTTTTATTTGTCCCCAGTTAACCGAAAACTTTTCATCCTCCCCTTTCTTTGTCTTTTTGCTTTACCAAATTGGCACAATGGCTGGTGATTCTTCTCGCGCTGATCTTCCCGCCACAATTCCGGCGCTGGAAGATAATATTCCGGCCACTGGAGGGGTAGAAATGGCAGAAGATGAGGAAGTTTCGTCGGTGGCTGAGATCTTACCTCGCCCTGGGAAGGCATGGACTGATTTCCAAAGTCCGCCCATGAAGAACCGGAACCTGCTCCCTCCTTCATGAATGAGGAGGGGTTGCAGACTTGAGGGCTAAGTGGGTAATTCCTCCCTATGTCGAAATACTACCGGCGATGGGGGATGACATAGTCCATTTTGACCGCCCAGGATATTGTGCATTCTACGCCCAGGATGGTGGTAGATTTCTGCTGCTTTTACGAGGTATGCTGGCTCAACTTACGCCGTACCTGTACAAATTGTTCCTTATGCTGCTCAAATTTGCGGAGTTTGCCGGCCGTGAGATCACTTTGAGACACATGCTCAATATCTTCTCCCCTCAACTCATCCGTGGCACGATGATTCATATGCGCCATCGCGGGTCGAAGAGCTTGGTGGTAAAGATGGATGACAGAGCCAACCGTCGCTTCTATGAGAACTACTTTTATGAGAGGACCGAGCATCTCGTGGCGGATCCTACGGGATTCCCTGAGAAATGGAATTTCGCACGTAAGTTCCTATACTTTTGGTCGGAATGACACCCAACTGCATTTCCTTTGAGTAGTACTGAAACTGTTTATGCTTTGTACAGCTGCGAAACTGCCTTCTACACCCGTTGATGGTATCCGCGAGCGGGTGAACGCCATCCTTCCTCATACGGCGGGGGTCCGCACATGGTCGTCCTTCTATGAGAGATGCGGACGCAAACCCCTTATTGGTGAGTAATATCATTTTCGTTTGCTGCTCCTCTTCCTTCCTCCTTTTTTTTTGTTTCTTATATGCTGTTCGTCGATGCTAGGGAGAGTGCGGAGAGCGAGGGCTCCCCTATTAGACTTTCGTCAACCTTCATTGTCTGCTCGCCCTATTTCAGCGTCTGCTGTCCGACCTTCGTCGAGGGATGCCTCAGTTTAATCTACGGCCGCGGTTGCACGTACGACGGCTTCCCCTCGAGCTAGGACTCCGATCCTGTCATTTACCCAACGGAAGGATCTTCCCATGCCGCGGAAGGGGAGGGGCCATCAAAGAGCGGCGAGTAGAGACTGAAGCGGCTCCTACGGCTATGATAAATCTGGAGGAAAACCTTCCCTTGACGGGGTCTGAGGTGGGAGTTAGTTCTATTCACCTGTGGAGATAGAGTCAGCCATTATATCTGCCCCATCGGCTGGGATCCCGACAACTATGATTGATCGGCAACCTGCCGTGACGAGGGTTCAGACCCCTGAGTACGCAGTCGCTGCTTTGGATGGGCCTTCATCTTTAGTGCCGGGCCGTGCTTCATCTTCGGCCGCAGAGAGAGGAAAGGGTTTCGTGGTCGACGATGACGAGTCTGAATCTGACCTTGATCCTGATGATGTTCGGATATTTGAAGAGGGTCTTACCCGTTCGGTGGTTCACGCGGGAGGTCCATCCCGTATTCTTGAGATCACGTCAGATATCAACCTCCTGGGGGATATGGAGGACCTGGTGCCGCAGTTTGACATCTTGTGCTCTGCGGCTAAGAATGCGGCTCTTCGAGACGTTCCCGATATTGATCTGATGCATGAAGTGGCCGCTATGGGCTTGAGAGTACGTTACACTTTTTATTTCATATTTCTTTCATTTTTCTTGGTGATGTGGTTTTAAACCATCTTCTCATTTTTCATACGTACATGGTGGAAATAGAGAGTGTACGCAGGGCCAACATTCGGGCCAAGATTTTTTTGAAGATGTTGGAAAAGTATCGGTGCTATCGCAACAAGTGTCGTGAGATGCACGAGCGGCTGTAGGTGAACCCTGGTGATCGATCCCTTGGCGAGGAGTTGGAGAAGAGGGATCAGGAATTGATGCAAGCTATTCGTAGTAAGAGTGCACTCGAGGAGCAACTTCGTGCAAAGGACGAAGAGCTTGAGTTGGGCAAAGGTATTGCTGCGGAGTGTGAATATCTTCAGGGGAAGCTGAGGTCGATGCAGTCCGAGATGGATCATAATCTTATCAAGGTCGGGGCGATGAGTGCAGAGTGGATGGGAAAAATGGCCGAGTTGGAGAGGAAGGTTGCCGGGTTGGAGAACATCGAGAGCGCCTGGTCGGCGGCTTTGGCGAGGGTGGCGGCTCAAGAGAATACTATCTGCGTCCTTCGGTCCGAGCAAGAGTCGAAGAGGGCGACAACCACGCTAATGGAAGCGAGGCTTAAGGAGCATATTGGCAAAATCGACCATGAGGCATCGTCCTTAGGAGAGCGGGTCGCTGCCCTTGAGGCCGAAAAGGAGCAACTGTTGGCTCAAATTAAATCTACCTCTGCCGCTGTTCCCCGTCATTTGCATGAGATTTGGGTTCATGCTGAAGCCCATCGGGACATGTATAAGAACTTATGGGAGGCGGACAACGTTACCGAGGCTGCATATGAAGGAGCTCGGGCAAATGCACGAGAGGCTTCTGTCAACTGTGGATATGAGTCTGCGACGCCGGAGGCCGATGAGGGCGTGGATGATGAGGGAGGACTTCCTGGAGATGGTGGCGATGATGGTAGCGGCGATAACGCCGAGTGAAAGAATGTTGTCTTTGTCTGTTTTCTGTCTTCTCCTTTTTTTAATTCATTGTTGGTTGTCATTGCTTCCTCCCCCCCTTTTTTTTAGATTGTTGGTTCGGTCCGTATGTAATATGCGACTGTTTGCGCAGTAACTTTGTATAAAGAGGAAATTTTCGTTGTTATATGCTCTTTGTATTTTTTCCCTGCTTTGCTCTTCAAAACTTTGGTGCGAAGTAGATTCCCGCACGACGAGTTCCCTACTCTTTGGGAATTTAGTGTCACGCGGGTTGAATGGGACCTTGATGGCGGCATTGGCTAGCGAGACGGTGTTTTCGAACTTGTGTCGAGATGCTGTCTTATCATAGTCCGAACGGTATCGAAATATTTTTTTTTTAATAGCGACCTTAGCCGTGAGGATACTACTTTCGGGCTTTTATCGAAGCATTATCCCGTCATGAGTCCCAGTCTTTCTTTCCTTTTCTTTTTTCTGATAAAGTATTTCCCTGTCGTCATTCGATCAAGGCTGAACTTTTCTTTTTGGCGGAGGCCCTTGGCCTTAAAGG